AAGCGCATGAGCGTTTCTCAGCCACTCAGCCCAGATGCAGATTAAGGTGACTACCGCCAGGTGAACTTTAGACTTTAGACCCGCAATGTAAGCAGTGGGGGCATTGCTTGAGATGTTCTGAGCTAGACTTGGTCTAGATGGCGTTTTCAACAGCTGGGGATGTCCGTGTCTGTCGCACCAGTCTAGGCAGCAAGCCAAATTGAAATGAAGCGCTCTAGCCCACAAGCTGTTCTTGAGGTACTTTGGGGCGACCTCAGATCGGGGATGAGCCGCTAAGCCCGCCTCTGCCGCTTCTATCGCATTTTAACCCTCAAACACAGTTTTCGACCGACAATATTCTGCTACCTCTGATGCAAATCAATGATCTCGATGCTGCAATTGCTCCCCATTCTCCCCTTCATGGTCGTCGCCGGCCGTGGTCATAGTCATAGACTTGTTCTTGCAGAATCCGGGGAATGGGGGACTGACAACTGGTGATCACGTTGCTTCTGCTGCTGCTGTTGCTCATCCTTGGTGCCCAATTGCTGTAGCTGAGGAGCTGCCTTGGCGACATGAGCGGCCAAGTTGCATTTGGGAATGGCTGTGTTTACTTTGAAGCAGCAGCAGCAGGAGGAGTAGGAGTAGGAGTAGGAGTAGGAGTAGGAGTAGGAGTAGGAGTAGTAGTAGTAGTAGTAGGAGTAGTAGTAGTAGTAGTTGTAGTTGTAGTTGTAGTTGTTGTTGTTGTTGTAGTAGTAGTAGTAGTAGTAGTAGTCTCCCCTGCCATGGGCTCGCTATCGTCAACAACTATTTAGACCAGTGGGGTACCTTGCCTGGGTCCATAGTACATCAGAACCTCTCAGCCCACCCCTTCCAACATAGTGTGTTGCAACAGTTCCGCATGAAGACTTTTGACAAGGAGGCACCAGAGCCCCAATCGTAAATCATGTGTCCTTGTTTATCGTTGTATACGGGCAGCCGCCCTTTGTTGTACCAGATGAGGATGGGATATGATGGGGGAACGTCGGACATTGAGTGGAGGTAGTGGAGCGAGGGTCATCACCACACCTGGCAACACACTGCTAGCTGCAACTTGTCCTTGATCCCTTCCCATAGACACCACGAAGCCCAGGTATGGTGGCCAAGGAGGCGAGTCCCCTTACAAGGGATTTTGTCGTTGCAGGCAATATACACTTTATGGTTCACAGCCTAGATTGCTCAGGTTGAGCTTTTCTAAAGATCGGGATGTCGGCTTGCATCTGGGATGCGAGATTTGAGCTCTCGCAGTCAGTTCAGAATCAGCCGAGAACTGAGACGTTCGGTCATGCGGAATATCACAACCGTAGGAATCCGTAGGAGGGATCGGGTCAATATTCTCATTGAGTTGACTCCCCCTCTTTCGACACGCGCCTTCGCGCGGTACCTGTGGTAAATAATGCAAATGGTAGGCCTTCAGCAGACTAGTAGAATGCAAAAGCGTGGAGCCATGCATGCGCGAGGTCTCCAACAGCGACTTGCAGACCTCCGTGCCAAGCCTAGATGGGGCCCTTGTTTTGGATGCCATCCTGGAAAGAAAGGACTCCAATATTTTGAGCGTTTATTTGCGCATGCCCACGGTATGTTCCAAGGCCAGCCAGCTTGCATCCTTATTGAGCGGTGAAAATCTTGATCTTGACTCCACGCTTCACAAGTTGGCACCTTAGGCCTCGGAGCCCTTGCTCGTCGAGCGCCGGATGACTGCCCCGCTGCTGCAAGAATTTCCTGATTGACGTCTCATCATAGTTGCATCGCCCAACAAGTTGCCTCAAGCAACTGAAAAAGGGTTCAGGCTTTATTTTAAGCCGGGCATTAACCACTTACCCTTGAATACTTTAGGGCTGATGAGTGCAGGAGAACTTGTGGGACGCTTCTGGGTTTAGACTTTTGGCATGTTTGGTAGGTTCTTTCAGAAGGCTCCTTCTTGAGTGGTAGCGCCCAAAACACCCTTGAGGCCATGGTTTTTGGTGTCCTGTTTTGGACAGGAGATCGTGCTGCTTTTGGATTGCGTCCTCCTGCTTGCTAAACAAGAATCCGTTTGGCTACAAGCCGTGAGATCCTGTTTGTGCTGCATGCTGTAAAGGAGATGACTGCTTCCGTCGCACATAGCGGAGCTGGGAGTGCTCCATCCCTGAAAGCTACAGGAACTGTCCAGCAGCATGATTTTGCTGCCTGTTCATGTTAAAAACTCCTTTCGGCTGCCTTTTGAACTGGGTTTTCAGGATGAGTAACAGTTTTGTTGTTGCGAGATGCCCACCTGAGAGACCTGGGCTCTGTGCTGGTGTCCTTGCTGAGGATGGCAACGGCTTCTACCACTGGACACGTTCTTACCTACTGTTCGTGCGAGGCATTATGCATCCATTTCCATTGCTGCAGTCAAGTCTCAGCAGCAAGGCGCGAAGAGGCAGCACAAGGAGCCCAAATGGCAAGGACTTTTGTGCACCTGAGGATGGGCGGTCTTGGGCTCGCGCTGCTTGCGGGAGCCTTGTACGCAGCCTTGCGCCAAGTGAACTCTATTGGTTGTGAAGACCTTGTTCGGGCTTCGTGCTCGGTCAATAGTAGTTGCCTCGCTGTTTCTTCACAACGTGCCATACTGCTGATGGTGGAAGCATGGCAGGTTGCAGCTTTTTGTCCGAAACCTTTGTTTGGAGTTAAAGACCATGCCTATCTGCAGGTTGACTCATGCCTTTTTGCCGGCCTGGGTGAGTATTTTACTTTGTGTGAAGAACTGAGTTGCAGTCCTAAAGACTTGGCTCAGATCATGTACGTCCCCCAGCTTCTCTGGAAGACACGGCTGCAGCAGGAAGGCACGCTAAATTTTTCCCGGGGCTACAAGGTGTCTGAAGGATTCTCCACGTTTGCTAGTGCCCGAAGGCTTGAGCTCGGCAAACTTCCTGTTCAAATCAGTGCTAGTCCGATGTGCTGTTGGACGTGTTTCATCCCCAGTTGTGCCTTTCATCCCCAGCAAACGCATTACAGTAGCAGCTTGCAATGCAGTGCGGGGAAGCATTTTTGGAGACGTGTGCCACTGCATGCCAAAGATCTATCCGACTCTATCCCAAACTGAATGAAGCCGGTACAACCGCATATGTCAAGGTTCCGAATAACTGTAAAACATTTGTTTATTCGTCCATTTGGGGTTCAGCAAGGCATGAATTCTGAATCCTGTATAGAAGGCACACTTAGCAGGGAAGCATGCAGGCTACATTGCCTCTGGCCTGGACTACTTCTACTCCCTTACAGTCGGTGGCCCCGGAGCAGGAAGCCGTAGATCTGGTTCAATCTCACTCGCTTTCTTCCGCCTGCTTGCGATGATTGATTTTAGTGTTTCCGTGAACACTGGGCAGCTGCTCGGGCGTTACGGTTTCAACATATAAGCAGCAGGAGTTCCATGACGGCAAGAGTACATTCATGGTCCCCTCCCCCTTTTAGATGCAAGTCGTTGGCAACAAGTTACGAAAACCTGGTAAAGTACTTCTGGTTGCTATCATTAGCGCTAGGTTGATTCGAATTTCTACGATTACCACCAATGATTATGCGGGCTGTTGCTGGATGGGGTGCGTGTGATGAAGCTGCAGCCGCTTGCGATCAAAGCTCCGACGCCTTCCTTCCAGCCAGATTTTGAAGCGACAGTATGGCCACCAAGCAGCTTGGATACACGGCGGTTTAGGGTTGAGGCTTTAGCGCTTCAATCTTTCTAGGCCATTGCTAGGCTAAAGAAACAGCTGTTGCATACGCCGGCTTACAATTTCCTGAGCGATCCAGACAGCAAGGCTTCCTGAAACTAGGTCTTCCAAAAGAGTGATAAAAGCTTCGCGTGAATGCCAGGATGCAGTGTACTGTATCGTGCTTGCAGCTGCCTTGCTGTTTTTTGGTGACAAGGCGAAACTGCCCCTACTGCTCCGTACATTGTTGCTGTATCATCATCCACCTCATGTGGCCGTGGCTCCTAGACAAACTTTGCTTACCATGCGTAGCAGACTAGCATGAGTATTCTTGTTGATATGGCTCTGGCCATGGGCATGACACTTCTTGTATCGTTTTGTTTCTGGTGCAATGCGATGTGGGACCTCTAGATTTAGGTGCAACAGGATCAAGCAAGCAGCCTTTGTCTGAGGGTCGGCATCAACGGATTCGGCCGAATCGGCCGTATGGTCTTCCAGGCAAAAGGGCCAACTGCAGCGGGAAATCTTGTTGCGAGTTGACAGGGTAGAGTTAATCTTTGTCCTGCCCGCCTGACCTACAACAGAGGTATCAGGAATCTACTCAATCAATGCCTGCCTGTCTGTCGCTATTCATCTTTTTATGTCTCTCAGCCCTCAACATGAAAAAATGTGCACCGTTTTGGGAGCAGAACAAGAGAACCAAATGCCAATCGAAGCACCAATCCTTTGACAGCGGTTTCACAACTATGGTGGTTTCGCCAAGTACCGCGCAGCTCCTCAGTTGCTATGATGGGACGAATGGTTGGCCTTGACGCGCAGATATCCGCCACAGCATGGGACACCTCTGTGGGATGTCGGTCCAGGAAATCACTTCGTACGTTGTCATCAGGGTCTCAAGTCCCATACTGTGCTGGCAGCACGCAGAAATCCAGAACCAGCAGACCGAAACATGTCCATCGTCTCTATGTGTACAGCTAGCATTAAAGCTTCATACTTTCATCCCTGCGCATGCCTTAGCCGCCTGCCTCTCAACAGGCAATTTGCGACCAGGGCCTGCTGGGCAGCAAACTGGATGTTGCCACTTGCCTGCAGTCATGCAAGTAACGAATAAACTGGGTTGTTAGGATGTGTGGGGCACAGTGGTTCAACAACCATCTTGTGAATTTCAGCAGAACGACCCGGAAGGTTGGAGTGGTTGACATGTCGACGGATGCAGAGTTCCTCGGCTCAGCTACCCAGAGTGGAAGATACCAGACGCCAAGTGCAGTTATCTCAAATTTCAAAAGCAGCAACCTCCAAGTCTTCAGGTACTTTGCCTATCAGATGAAGTACGTGTCTTGACTGCACCTGCAGCTTTGCGTGTGGCAAGTTGCTGACCGTGGCTTTGTGAGTCTGAGCTCAAGCAGGCTTCAAAAAGCCTGGCGTGGCATAGTGTTTGAAGGGCTGCCCTTCTTTGCCATGCCTTGTCCTGCCTTTTCCATTCATGCTGCCACTAGCTACTTCCAGGACAATGCTGCTTCTACAGGTTGTCAGCTTCCTGCTTTAGGCGCTGATGGTAGCAAAGGGCAACGACGGATGGTCAAGACTGGATGGCACATGGCATGACAAGCGGGCCAGACTGATGCCACCTTAACAGCCTTCACATGTACCAAGGACACCGTGCACGGCAAGTTTAAGCATGATGTCAAGATTGGCGAGAAGGACCGCAGTGTACGCAGCAATAACAAACATAGATGTTTTGGGCAATACTGTTGAATCATTATTATTGTTATTATGAAGGACCCTTGGACCATTGTGACAAGTATTGCATTTTTCAGAGTCCAGGTGCAAAACGGAGGCCCACGCAACGATCAATATTTTTGTTTGCAAGCTTGACATGCATGGCACAATGATTGATGCATTATAGAGTTCACTATGCAGGATGAGCTCATCGTGAACGGCCACAAGAGCACCTGATGCATTTGCAACATGTGGTTGATTGTGCCAACTCTCAGGTTACTTGTAGGGGAAGTAAGCCTTGACCGAGAAAAGTGTTGCAAGCTCAATTGGCGCGGTTCGCAACACCTACATTTTATTCCCCAAAGACTAATACGCCACTTAAGAGTCCCTCATTGGTTTTTGCAATGATCCATTTGCAATGACAGTAGACACGGCCTGGGACCCTGATTCGCACAACTGCGCCCAAGGATGACAAAGTTACAGCACGCAATTAGTTTGAAAGCCTGCGATTGCGTTTTAACTTACTTTCACAACAGTCGCAAGTCACAGCGAGTCTCTCAAACTAGCAATGTGTGTGTGTGTGCAGGAAAATGTGCATGGTGCTCATGTCAAGCCAAGGATCAAGTGCATCATGGCCAGCAGGGAGGGCCCCAAGGCCCTGCCCTGGAAGGACTTGGGAGTGTGCCCTGTGCCGCACAGTAAATTAGGGCTGTCACAGAGTAAGATGCAAGGCAGCGCCGCGTGGCGTGGGGGATGCGGAAAGTATCGGAAATTGAAGTTGGAGCGAGCATATGGGACAGCGTGCCGTCTCTCCAGTCCACCCCTGCAAAACGACAGCGAGGCAGTTCGTCATCGAGTCCACCGGCCTGTTCGTGGAGTACGAGAAGGCTTCTCCTAGCCATCTGATGACATGAGTTTAGCTAAGCTTCATATGGTGGGCTGGTGGGATGTGTGAGGCCCTGGGCCACATCGAAGCCGGCGCAGAAAAAGTCATCATCTCCGCCCCTGGCAAGGGCTCTCTGAAGACCCTGGCCCCTTCGCGTCAATTTGGACACTTCATGGTGATTCTTGCTTTGTCTGTCGTGGGTTGAAGGTGTGTGAGGCGTTCGCTTGTAATATTCTTGAGGTCTGCGGCGTGAACCACACGGAGTACGACAAGTCCCAGCATCACGTGG